GTTGTCCATTTAAAATGGCTATTGAGTTTCACAATGACTTTCCTATTTAAAATTACAAATTTATTTTTTAATATTTTTATACTTGTTTTAAATAGAACCTAATATATATAAAGATATTATACAAATACAAATTAAACAAAAACAAATTAAACATAAAAATATTAAAATCATTCCTTTATTACCTTTTAAAATAAAAGTAACTAATTTTTTTAGTCATGGTTTATTTTTTAAAAAAGATTTATTTTCTAAATTAAATAAAGAAATAAAATAATTGAATAAACAGAAGATTGTTAAAATAAATGATATACTACTATAAATAAAAATACAAATCAATAAACCCTCTATTGGACTAAAACTATTTAAATAATCTATTATTGAATTTAAATTAATTTCAAAAATATTTGATTCTTTAAAGTTATCAATAAAATAATTTTTTGATAATGATTTTAACATATCTGGTGTATTTATAGGTTTATTTAATTGATGCATATATTGCGAAGCTAAGATAGTAGTACTTGAAATTATACTTAAAGAAACTCCAGCAACTAATTTTTGAAATGAACTTTCAGGCATTGTTTGAATTGCTTTTACTATTGCAGTCCCTACAGCCAAGCCAGTTACAGTTGGGTCAATTTTTTTTAAACCTTGACCATCAGTAAATCTAGTTACAAACCAAGAATTTAATTTTTTTAATTCTTTTTTTTTTATCATTTTTATATTTTTATTATTAATTAGAATTATTATCCATATAAGAATAAGAAACTCATCATTAAAGCAAATAATCCCATAGCTTCAACTAAAGCGAATCCTAAAATAGCGTAAGAGAATAATTGTCCTTTTAATGAAGGATTTCTACTTAAAGAGTTTAATAAAGAAGAGAAAACATTACCGATACCCATAGAAGTACCACCTAAAGATAAAACTGCTAATCCAGCAGCAATAAATTTTGCACAAGCTAACATAATAATTTATTTTTTTTTTAATTTCAACTATAAATAATTTAAATTGGTTATTATAAAATTTATAAATAATTTATACTATTATTAATAAATACTTTTACATTTATAGTACCATTACCAATTCTTTTTTTACCTTTACCCCTTTTTAAAGTAGTAGTAAAATTAGATTTAGAATCTACCATTGAATAATTTGAATTAAAATGAAAATTACCTATACTATATATAAATTTACGAGCTCTACTAGCAGTTTTTCTTTTTGTTAATCTTCCAGTAAAAATTCATTTTATACCACTTATATAAGAAACAAAAATTTTATTAAATAAATTTTTTTTCATAATTTCATTATAATTATATAAAAATGGTATATTATTAATATGTTTTGCTGTTATAATTTTTTTGTTCATTTTTTTTCTAAAATAATAAAAGCTTCTTTTTCTAAATTTTAAAGCTAAAAATTTAGTTAATATTTCACTATTTAAATAAGGATTATTTATATTTTTTATTTTTAAAATAACAGGTATACCCATTATATCTGTTAAAATTTTATTTAATTTTAATATATATTTTTGATTTAAATAAAAAAATTCATTAAATAATTTTATTCCTTTTTTATATTTATATATATATTGATTAGAAGATTTAACTTTGTATACTAATCCTTTTTTTTTATATACAAATATATTTATATATACTTTATTAGAAGTATAATAAAATCTAGGACTACTTATTAAAGCTGTTTTTAAAAATAATATTTTTAGAATTTTATTTATATATAATTCTTTATTTATATTTTTATTTATTTTTTTATAAGTAATAATATTCCAATTCCCTATTGTTTTTAATTTACCACTTAAAGGAAATTTTAATGTCATATAATATAATATATATATATATATTATATACTTACGATTATTTTTTATTTTTATTATAATAATTTTATTTTAATATTATATTCTTATATATATTGTTATAATTTTTTTTATTTTTATAATATATTTTATCTTTATATATATAATTCTATATATAAAATTAATATATTAATTTCTTTATTTATTAATTTAGTACAATATGTATATAAATTTTTAGGTAAAATATAATTATTAGTTTTGATCAAACTCATCAGATCCATTAAATTTATATTATTAACTATAGCAGATAAATATTCTAGATCAGAACAAGTAAAATCCTTATAAATTATTATTTGATGTTTATTTTGTTTACCAAGTTTAATATTTTTATATTTTTAAATAACATTTAGATAAAAAATATTTTCTTTTTTAATAATTAAATTTTTTTAATTATTTTTATAAATATTAAAAATAGGAATTAGTAGATTCGAACTACTTCCATCTAGTTGTAAGCTAGATGCTCTACCAATTAAGCTAAATTCCCTTAATTATATTATAAATATATTATATAATACACACATTATAAAATATAAAAATATAATAATAATTATATAAAAAAAATTATAATTTTTATATAAAAATTAATTAATTTTATATAAAAATTATAATACTATATTAGTAATTATATTTCATATATACAATAAATTATAATTTAAATTTTATAATTTTTATATAAAATAAAAAAATCAAATTAATAGGATTTTATAAATAGTAAATATACTTATAAATTTATAATTTATAAAATATATATAAATTAATTAAAATTAAATATAAAAATAGTTTAATGATTTTTATAATTTTAATTAACAATTTAAATTATTAAGATTATAAAATTATTTATAATGTTTTATAATCCCTTGGAACAATTTTTTATAAATAATTTTTTATCTATAAATACACCATTTTTAACTTTATCTATAACTAACTCTGGATTATATATGATAATATCAAGTATTTTAATATATATAATATTACAAATATCAATAAAAGAAGATAATATAATAGGTAATAAAATAAGTATATTAACAGAATCAATATATAAATCTATATTAGATTTAGTAAGAGCTCAAATAGGAAAAGAAAATGAAATGTATTTACCATTAATATTAACTTTATTTTATTTTATATTAATAACAAATTTTGTAGGATTAATACCTTACGGTTTTTCTCCTACTGCTCATTTTGCATTAACATTAAGTTTAAGTATTATGTTAATTATTGGTATGACATATATTGGATTTAGTAAATATAAATTAACTTATTTTTCAGTATTATTACCTTCAGGTACACCTTTAGGATTAGTACCTTTATTAGTAGCTATAGAATTATTATCATATATAGCTAGAGCTTTTAGTTTAGGAATTAGATTAGGAGCTAATATAACTTCTGGTCATATTTTATTAAATGTTATAAGTAGTTTAACTTTACAAATTATATCTATAAATATAATTTTTGCTATTTTATCTATTATTCCTATTGTTTTTTTAGTTTTATTAATGGGATTAGAAATAGCAGTTGCTATTTTACAAGCTTATGTATGATGTGTTTTAACTTCTATTTATATAAAAGATTCAATAGTTTTACATTAATTGTAATTAATTTTTTATTTTAATTATAATTAATTTTTCCTTTTAATATAAATTTTTATATTTTAAGAGATTATAAATATTTATTATATTTTTAGATTATATAGTATTATTTTTTATAATATGCCTCAATTAATACCATTTACTTTTATTAATCAAATATCTTTTGGATATTTCATTTTATTATTTTTATCTTATTTTTTATCTATTTATATATTACCTAGATATATATTAAAAGATTTAAGTAGATTATCTTTAATACAACCTTGAATTTAATATAATATTATATTAATTTATATTAATTAATATATTAAGAATTTTTTTTTATTTTTAATAAGTTTTATATATTATTTTATTATTTTTATTTTTTATATTATATAAAAAATAAAAATAATATTTTTATTTTTTATTCTTATTAACTATTTATAATAATTCATTTTTATAAAATTATTTTTATAATTTTAAAAATATAATTATATTTTTTTAAATATAAATATAATAAGAATATAGCCAGATTAGCTTAATTGGTAAAGCAGTAATCTTGTAAATTACCTTATATGGATTCAAATTCCGTATCTGGCTAAAATTTTATACCTACTTGGAGAAATTGGTAGACTCAAACGACTTAAAATTGTTTGCACTTTGTGTGTGAGGGTTCAAGTCCCTCAGTAGGTAATAAAGAGAAGAAAGCATTTTGGTATTGCAATCGCCCTGTAAAGGCGATGGTTTCGACCATTCTGGGTTCAAATCCCAGTCTTCTCATATAAAAAGGGGGAGATAGCTTAATGGTAAAGCCGACTGCTCATAACAGGAAAGATGTAAGTTCAAATCTTACTCTCCTCATAAAAAATATATATATTTTTTATTACTGCGAATAAGTGTAAAGGTAGCACATAAGACTCATGATCTTAAGGAGATTGTTCAATTCAATCATTCGCACTATTATTTTTATTTCTGTGAATAAGTGTAAAGGTAGCACATAAGACTCATGATCTTAAGGAGATTGTTCAATTCAATCATTCGCACTAAAAAAAGATCTCATCATCTAAAGGTAGGATCTGGCACCTTCACTGCCATTATGTTCGTTCGAATCGGACTGAGATCAAAATAATAAAGGAATCGTAACTTAAAGGTTAAAGTGTTTGCTTGATAAGCAAAAAATAATGGTTCAATTCCATTCGATTTCAAAAAAAAAAAAGATTAGATAGCTTAACGGTAAAGTATCGGGCTGCAAACCTGATTATGAGTGTTCAATTCACTCTCTAATCTTATCAAGATATAAAATTTTATATTTTGATAAAAAATAATAGGGAGTATAACTTAATTGGTAGAGTGTCAAACTTTTAATTTGTATAGTTTGGGTTCAAATCCCAATACTCTCAAATTATGCCTTGATAGCTTAACAGGTAAAAGTACGGAACTGAAAATTCTGGGTAGGATGTTCGAGTCATCCTCAAGGCATTAAAATAGCTGTAGTAGCTTAATGGTAAAGCCAATCACTGTTAATGATCGGATCTCTGTTCAATTCAGGGCTACGGCTAAATAAAGGAAAAATCGCCTAATGGTATGGCAATAGTTTGCTAAACTGTGGATATTATATATCTTTAAGGGTTCGATTCCCTTTTTTTCCGGATAATAATAAAACAAAAGGATAATATTCCCAATTAAAAAATTTTTAGTTATAATGAAATTAGCCTTATTATTATTATTAGTCGGGATTTATGGAATTATTTTAAATAGGAAACATTATTTACTTGTTTTAATATCAATTGAAATTTTATTATTAGCTGTTACTATTTTAGTTCTTTATTTTTCTATTATTTATGATGACATATTAGCTCAAATATTTGGTTTATATATTATATCTATTGCAGCTGCTGAATCTGCAATAGCTTTATCTATATTAGTAGCTTATCATAGATTAAGAGGTACAATAAATATTACAATAACTTCAGAAACTACTTTACTTCCTAAATTTACATTATAAAAAAAAAATAATTCTTATATTAGGGTAGATGACTGAGATGGTTTAAGGTGCTTCGCTTGAAACGAAGAAAAGTTTTAAATAACTTTCATGGGTTCGAATCCCATTCTGCCCGTTAACGGATAGTGGCGTAATAGGTAACGCGTCTAACTTGGGTTTAGAAGATTATAAGTTCGAGTCTTATCTATCCGAGATAAATAATATATGGTAATAAAAATAAAAAAAAAAAATAAATAAATGAATACATTATTATTATTTATTATATTAACACCTATTATATTACTAACTTTATTAATAATTAATCTTATAATACCTGTTAATAAACCTGATTTTTCTAAATTATCACCTTATGAATGTGGTATGGATACTATAGGTACAGCTAGAGAAAAATTTAATATACAATTTTATTTAGTAGCAATATTATTCTTAATATTTGATATAGAAGTAATATTTTTATTTCCTTTTGCTTCTGTTTTATATAATATTTCTTTATTTGGTTTCTGAATAGGTACAATATTTATACTTATATTAACTATAGGATTTATTTATGAATTAAGTAAAGGTATATTAAATTTTATAGATAATTAATTATATTTAATTCTATTTAATTTTTATAAAAAATAATTTATAAAATTTAAATAAGGGAAATAATTTAATTGGTAAAATACTAGTCTCCAAAACTAGTTTTAAAGGTTCAATTCCTTTTTTCCTTGTTTTAAATATAATATACACTCTTAACTTAATAGGTTAAAGTAATAATCTTCGAAATTATTTATATAGGTTCAATCCCTATAGAGTGTTCTTAAGGCGAATATAGTTTAAAGGTAGAACTACAATTTGTGGCATTGTTAATATGGGTTCAATTCCCATTATTCGCCTTTTATTTATATAATAACTCGTTTAGCTTAATTGGATAAAGCATCGATCTTCTAAATCGTATATTGTAGGTTCAAATCCTTCAACGAGTGAAAAAATATATATATATCAATAAAAATATAATAAAGAAGATTAAAAAAAGTAAGAAATTATTATAAAAGTAAAAGAAAAATATAAAAAAAGAAAATGATTATATTATTATTATTTATACCTATAATAGGTATTATTATTAGTTTACAAATAACTGATAATAAAAAAATTAAAAAAATAGGATTAGGAACTGCTATGATAAATTTTATAATATCTATAATAATGTGGAATAAATTTGATTATAGTTGTATTCAACCACAATTTTTAATAAAATTTACTGATATAATTGCATTAGGTGTTGATGGAATATCATTATTATTTATATTATTAACAACATTTATAATAGTTATATCTATATTAGCTAGTTGAGATATAGAAGAAAACATAAAATATTTTATAAATTCATTATTATTATTAGAAACTATCTTAATAGGTGTATTTGTAATATTAGATATGTTAATATTTTATATTTTTTTTGAAGCATCATTAATACCTATGTTTTTTTTAATTGGTTTATTTGGTAGTGGTAGACAAGGTTATAAAAAAGGTAAAGAAAAAGAAGAATTAACTAGAATATATGCAACTTATCAATTTTTTTTAATGACATTAGCAGGATCATTATTTATGTTATTAGCTATATTAACTTTATATTCTTTTTCAGGTACTTATGATTATATTTTTATTTCTTCATCTTATTTTTCACCTTCTAGACAATTTATATTATGGTTAGGATTTTTTATATCTTTTGCAATAAAAACACCTTTATTACCTTTTCATCAATGATTACCTTTAGCACATACTGAAGCTCCATTAAGTGGTTCTATAATATTAGCTGGTAAACTAATGCTAGCTCAAAATTTAGCTATATGCTGGAAACTCTTATTTATAAATCTAATCGAAAATATAATTTATATTTTCGATTTAATAAGACAATCAGCAGGAAACTATGCCGTACTCGGCATCTGACCTAGGTTAGAAGTAAAAATATTTGATATAAATTTTATATCAAATAAATTACATAGGATCCTCAGAGACTATACGCTAAAAATAATTAACAGTTCTAATTACAATGATCATTCTATTAAATTAAATTTTTATACTGGTTACCATAACTTTATGATCGATATAGAAAAACAATATTTCTCTACTTTTATTAATAAACAAACAGATACAAATTACATTAACGTAAACTTTACAAAAAATTATTTAAGTTCTTATTTAGCTGGTTTGATAGAAGGAAATGGTTGTTTTTATTTACCTAAAAATGATGTAAATACACCTCAAATTATTATTGTTTTTCCCAGTAAAGATTATCCTTTATTCGCTACATTACAAAAAATTTTAGATATAGGTAATATATATAAAATTAAAGGTAAAAATGCGTATCATTATAGAATTAGTGATAAAAAAGGTTTAGAAAAAATAATAATTTTAATAAATGGTTATATGCGAACTCCTAAAATAAATCAATTCTATAAACTTATAGAATGATTTAATAAAAAAGATATTAATATCATTAAAAAACCTTTAGATAATTCAGAATTAAATAGTAATGCTTGGTTAGCTGGTTTTATAGATGCAGATGGTCATTTTTCAGTAAGATTATCTATAGATAAAAAAGGTAAATTAAAAAAAACAGCTTGTTCTTTAGAATTAATACAAAAACAAAAAGATATTTATGGTTATTTTAATTTTGAGACGATGTCTCAAATCAGTAAATTTTTATTATGTAAAGTTAAAGAAATTAATGTTACTTCTAAAAACCCTCAATATAGAATAAGAACAACTAATTTAGAAGGAAATTTAATATTAAAAAATTATCTGAATAACTATCCGCTGTTCGGTAGTAAATATTTAGATTATAAAGATTGGTGTAAAGTATTAGAATTATTTTATATACAAAAAAAAAAAAATGAGGAAGATATAAAAAAAATCTTCAAAATAAAATCTAATATGAATGATAAAAGAACTTTTTTTAATTGGGATCATTTACAAAAATTTTATAAAATATAATAGAATTGTTTTAATTATTAAGATATAGTCCCAGGCGTATCGTGAGATACGCGGTATCTACCAAATAAAGAACGATATTAAATAAATTTTAGGTTCAAATATATATATTTGAACAAAATATTCCTTTATTTGGGAAGTATATTTATAACTATAGATATACTTCGTGACTTTTTTAGTAGTAGATCAAGAAAAAATAAAAAGATTATGTTAAAATTAGCCACTTATGGATTTATAAGATATTCTTTAAATTTATTTCCAGAAGGATCTTATTATTTTTTACCTTTAATATTACCATTATCTGTTTTAGGTATTATTTATTCTTCTTTTACAACATTAAGACAAATAGATTTTAAAAAAATTATTGCTTATAGCTCAATCGGTCAAGGTGGCCCCGCAAAGATTATATCTTTGCCGCAACAAACTATATGCGGGGAATTTAAGATATTTTTTATATCAATATTACAAAATACTAAAATTATTAGTAATCTTATTTTATTTTTAGATTCCATTTTAGTTAGAATTTTTGTAATATATTTAAACAATCCGCAGATAACCAAAGCGCTTAGCACGTTAATGGGAATCTCAGAGGCCATATGTTTGTTATTTACTTATATATTTAAAATTATTAAATTAAAATTTAATAATTTAAAATTATTAAATTTTAATTTTTATACTACTTCTACTAAAGAAAAAATTAAAGCTAAAAAACGATTTAATGAATGATTAGCAGGTTTAATCGATGGTGATGGTTGTTTATATTTAACAAAAAAAGGATTAACAGGTTTAGAAATTACTATGGATTTAAGAGATGAACACTGTTTGTATATAATAAAACAACAATTTGGTGGATCTGTAAAATTAAAATCTGGAGCTAAAGCTGTAAGATATAGATTACATCATAAAGAAGGAATGTTAACATTAATTAATGCTATAAATGGTTTAATAAGAAATCCTATTAGATTAAATCAATTAGAAAAAATTTGTAATAAATATAATATAAATCTTATAAAACCTAGTTCTTTAACTTATAATAATGGTTGATTAGCAGGTTTTTTTGATAGTAATGGTAGTATATTTATTAATCAAATAAATCATACTATAGTATTTTCATTTACTCAGGAGTATAATAATCTTTTTGAAGGATTAAGTGATTTATATGGAGGTAAAATTTTCTATCATGATAAAAAACGTAAAACATTTAGATGAGTTATTTATAAAAAAGAAGAAGTTTTATCTTTATATAAAAATTATTTTCATTTTAATCCTTCTAGATCAGCTAAGATGATTCGAATAAATTTAATACCTAAATATTATGAACTGAACGACCTTTTAGGTCGTTCGGCTGATGATAATACTATGTCGAACAAAGCATGAAAACAATTAATAAATTTATGGAATAAAAATTTTAATAATAAGTAAATAAAGAGATGGTCCAAAAAACATCAATTGATGTTAATAGCACATGGCTATAGCAATAATGAGTTTATTTTCTTTTTTATATCAAGGTATATCAGGATCAATATTTTTATCAATAGCTCATGGTTTTACTTCTCCAGGTTTATTTATTTGTGCTGCTATTTTATATGATAGATTCCATTCTAGAATTTTATATTATTATAAAGGTTTAACTATATTAATGCCTATATTAAGTATTATTTTATTTTATTT